CATATATATATAGTGGTTATAAGAAGCCTCAAACCTGGCATACAATAAGCAAACTTCTGATATTCTGTGTTCAGATGGATATAATTCTGATAGAAAGTGTGGAATTTGGCTCGTAGTGCTATGTGAGCATCCTGTATTTTGTATGAAGGTATGTACAGTTGTAATTGAAGATATTAAACCGAAGTATGTATGGAAGTACGTGTGGTCAAAAAAAAATATTGCAATTCCTCTATTACATGCATGCGCATAGAAAAATAACAAATCGCACGTTTTTCTAATAAAGTTTTCGTCCCACAGTATAGGCGAGGAGCTTAAAGTCAAGTTCAAACAGAAACAGAGCTTTTCTCCGTCGACAAGATACCTATCTACGACTGTCTGCCTTACCAGATGCTAGGTCTTCTGTGGCCTGCCTCAATGCTATTACACCTATGGACATGCCGATATATGCACCCAGTCGCACCTGTAGATAGTTAGAAAGATGAGAGGCCGACCGTAAATGAGAATAGAAATATCAAAGCCACCCAGTTGTTCTGGCTTGCAGACATTCTAGTATACGAGTATTGCAAGGGTCTACCCATTTACAGACTTGGCACGATTGAATTAATTGATTCGAGCTCTGTGTCGTGGTGCTATGATCTGAGAGCCTTTGCTCGGGCAACTCAATATGTGAAATTATGAATTGATATGGTATTGTAAAAGATAAGAAAAAATTTAACATAGCAAGAAAGATTCATCCGAATCGAAACACAGTAGGGGTGAGTGCGACATCTGTAGCAATGAAGAAATATATCGGCCGCTTGAGAGATAAATTTTTGCAAGGAAAAATAAGTTTAAATACGGATCCCTTATCCATCAACACTATTGTCCATAATTGCCTGACCGACATAGGATGTAACATATTTGCGTTATACCGATATCCAAGGTATATAAAAGATACATTACAGTTACAAATTAAAAATATGCAAGAAACACAGATGATCTTTGGAACTTACCGACGGTGATGTGCCATCCGCTTGGACGGCCCGTACGAGTGAGCGAGTGGTATCGCGAATCAACCGAGCATGTTCGGCACTTGTGGGTAACTCAGCCATCATTGAGCCTGCCAGTACAAAGGCGAGATGTTTAGATGTTTAGATGATATATGTATATATATATATATATATATATGTATATATATATATATATATTATATATATATATATATATATATATATATATATATTATATATATATATATACTATAATAATA